CAGCACAACGTCATAAATTCGTGAACGAATATGAAACCATCTTGAATTGTCCTTGTGTAAGTTCGCTATAGCGAATCGATTACTGATCAATGTATTTATTCATTCATTCATTCAAGTCATGTCAAACATCAAACATAATCTATGCTCTCACGTGTCCGTGTGGTCAATTTGATTATACTGGAGAGTCGGGTTATTCGCTCGACGAGCGTATACAAGGTTCGTATTGACGCATGTTGTCGTCATAGTAGAAGAAAATATAATATTGTTCTTCGTATTATTCTGACTAGTTCATCGGTATCATGGTAATCGAATCATGTATGAATGTTTTATGGGCGCGAGGAACTTCAAACTCATCTATCCGAATGTGGTGAAATCAGCTGAGTAAGTGTGTGTGTGTGTGCGTAAGTGATATGTTTGTTTGTTTGTTTAGCACGCTTTCTAAGGATGGTATGCGTCTGTATCGGCATTCAACTGAGTGTCCGACTGCCATTCAAATCTTCTTGGATGAAAATCCGCAGTACTGGCGATTTGTACCATTATTGAACGATGACGCAGATCAGATGGATCGAAATCCTTACATTGCATCACGTGATGTACCACACGGTGATGATTTGCGAAGTGACAAGGACGTGCGAGAGCTTCTCGCTAATTTGCCACCACCGCCGGCAAATTATCGTTTTTCACAGCGGCAATATCATCAGCAATATTCATTCTTTCAAGCGCGACGAGAGCTAAAGGCAATGCCGAACATGCATCTCGATTTGTACAATGCAAAAGTAATTGCAGTGCGTAAGTGTGTCCTTCTAGTTATATGTTTGTTATCTTGTTCGTCATGTGCGTCTTGGTTGTCTTCACACTAGTGCCAGATAATGGATCGATGGTGTTACGTCGAATCATCGAAGCCTTGTTCATCACACATGCCGAAACGAAACTCAATTCAGCAGGCTGTTTGGTTAAGTGCGATCATGATGTGGCCACTGGTGGTAGTCATGGGAATACTGTTTGGTGCAAGGATCTGGTTCGTCGGCCAGTGCCAGCGTTCACTGGATCGTCAGATATGAACAACGTGGTTGTCAAATGGGAACGAAAGGATTGAATTGCGGACTGTAACTGATCATGGACTATTTTTGTTGTTTGAGTCATGTGAACATCAAAGAAAAATAAAATAAAGTCAGGAAGTGTCCTTGTATTTTGGTTGAGACTATGAAATTACAGCAATTCCGTTGTCGTTTCAGATTACATTCACTTTGTGCTTCGTGTATATCAAATGGAGAGTTCGAGCGATAATAGCATGATGTCGACGTCTTCCGATGATCTCGTTTCAGTAAGAGTTGTTGTTGTTATACTGTGTAATTGGAAGTGCTTCGTCTTGATTTATTTGGTTTTTTTTATCATAGTCGTTTGAGCAAAGTCAACAAGGACAACAAGCATCGCCAGCGACTACTGACAATAATGCTTGTCCGACAGTCTTGTTGATACGTCGAACGATGTCGGTTGATCAAGGTCCTGGCATGGTCAACGATGACGACAACGACGACGACGACGACAGTGACGAAGACAACAACAACCAGCAAAAGTTCATTCAGGCATTCCGGGAACGTGTTGTGGAGCTTGTAAGAGAATTTCGTCGAGAATTCTCTTACAGACAAGTAATTCGATGGTCGATCGAGTATGGTAATGATAAGCACTATACTGTGGAAATACTGGTGAAACCATCTCGACGACAAGCAGTGAATCGTCATTGAACATTGGTGGTTTTTCTTTGTTATTTTTTTCTTTTTTGTAAGATTTGTTCAATGGTCAGTAAACTTGTGCATGTTTGAGATTGCCTGAAGAAAAGAATTGCAGCATAACTGAGAAAGCCGTCGGCCTTTTATATCGTTTTAGATTATCTATAGCATGGGAGATGACGAGGAACGACAACGACATGATCCCACTAGGACGTCCGTCATCAGTAAGGATTGTGTCATTGCGAACGAAAAAGATGGAGAACGAGGAGGAGAAGGCGAAAAAGAAGAAGAAGATGGTGGTGACTGTTCTTCGATGTATAAACCTTGCACGTTTCGGCCAAATAGTATCAATAGTGAACGACGTCGACGAATTCTACCAGCTTATCCACTGGCAAGAAACAACAGTCTGGATCGAACATTATTGCTTCTGTGTAATGTGCCTCATGTCAATCGAGAGATGCTCGAGGACAATTCATTTTGTGGTGGTCATGGCTTTTGTCCGTTCAACTTCGTGCAGCATCGATACGTTGAAACGATAGACTCGTTCATGATCGATCTCTATCGAGATCTGTTCGAGCGGCCAAGTCAACAATGGAAAATTCCGTATTCCATCATTGACTACAATTTAAGTCGACTTCGAACAAGCATGCAATTGTACACGCAACAAACGAATGAGCCAGTATTGGCATCGCTGAGTGAGTGGCCTCTCGCACTGGAATTCTTCCTACAGATTGATGGTAAGAATAGCATTTACTTTTGACTTGGGTCGATTCAGTTGAATGTGAAACGCTTCTGTTGGTTTGTTCGTTCGTTCGCTAATTAGTCGATGTATTCTTTATGAAAACATGCTGTTTTCGTGGTTCTGAACCTCGACTATTTCCTGGCAAGCAGGAGAACGACAAGGATGGAAATCAATACGAAGGCATCATATGTCAAGGTAAGCCCGTGGCACGATATGGACTGACGCCGTGTTACGAGACAAGTTGTACTCTGTGTCGGCCGAGTCTCGAAGCGATTAGCAAGTCAAGCAGATCAAAAGGTGCCGTTTCATTTTCTCCTACGAAAAGTCATCGTTTTGTTAACAATTACGAGGCTTTTCTCAATTGCAATGCAGTATGTTCTTATGCGTTAACACGCTGACATATACTATGTGCTGTCCTTCGTTGTAGACTTGCAAATCATCGAATGTCATCTACGCGCTGACATGTCGTTGCGGAGCGTGTGACTTCATTGGTTCTACAGGAATGAATTTTCACGATCGAATACTACGTAAGTGCATGTGCATGTAAGCTAACTTAGGAGCGTTTCTTCGTCTTTGTCTTGTGTTCCACTCTTTCACAGAACACCGTCAAGACAATAATCGAGTTGTGCGGGAGTTTCTTGTCGGATCAATTAATACTGATCATATCATGCTAGATAAATATCGGTCAGCAGGGTAGGTTTCTCAAATGTATAAGTAGACGTAGATTGATACGTATCTTCGATGTGCGGTCTCGTGTAGGATAGCGGCAAAGAACGAGGTTTTCCTCTATCAACATTCAGCACGGTGTGCAACAGGGCTACCACTCGTCTTCGACAGCAATCCTGAATATCGGTGTCTGGTGCCGGCGGTATGGGTTAAGGCGAGAGAGGCGGACACAAGCGGTGGTCGCACGTCAGAAGGTTCCATTCATCGATGGTCAACTGTTCGACCTCCTCAGTCGTCGTCGTCGCCACCAGCGGCGTGTACGAAGAGACCGAGATTATTCGAAGATGTCCTGACCAATACGACACGCAGTGAAGACGAGTGCAGTTGGTTATGCAAAGGTGTACCCAAGCCGCCAAGTAGAAGAACAAATGCATTTCTTCAAGTTCAAAACGTCTGCGCATGGATCGTTGCCGAAGCTAGTCGATTTCTATTTGTACACAATCGTAGCCGCGTGTATGTATCTGCATGCAAGGAATCTTGAAAGTATTGTGTTCGATGTAAGTGTACATGTTGACTTTTGTTTCAGTGCCTGATGAATGTTCCTATGAACTTCGACGATCCATCGAAGCACTATTCATTACTCATGTCGAATCACGATTGAATACAATTGGTCGTCTCACACACAAAGGTGCATGGCCTGTACCGGTAGATGATTCGAATCGTGGTCAATGGTGTGAGAAACTTGTTCGTCCATCATCAGCATCAGCATCATCATCATCATCGTCGTCGTCACGTATTTCATGACACAAAAGAGCATGTTTTGAGCGTTAAGTTGTATTTTTCACGTTTGTCAATTGGTTTTTGAATAAATACAACAAGATGAAAAACGCTAGAAGAAGAATAATAATAATGCAGATGTCTATTGTGATTATTTCAGAGTATTTTCTTAGCAAAAGTATCATGTTTCCAATGGCTAGTTCATCGAAACGACAATCTTGCGTACTCTACGAAAAAGTAATGATAATCGTACGAAGCGTACATGTGTACGTGAAAGAGACGTCGGAGTTAATGCCTTTGTTTTTTCTCTTGTATCGTAGAAGTGGGGTGTCTTCACGTCGGATCCATGGGAAGTCTTTATCATGAATCGACAAGGACAAGTAAGAATGCATTGTCGAAAATAAATGTGGAATTGGAGTTTGGTTTGTCTCTAGGCGATTTTGCCTTTCTCTCGTCGAGTAGTTCCCGTCAATCTGTTTCAAAGTCTACGGATGAAGCTGGCCGCTCAATCATTGAATAGCGAGTGTCATCTCGAAAACGCAAAGTATGTATTTGTCGTTTGTCTATGAACATGTCGTTATGTTTTGAATAGAATTAGTGAGGATTTTCATCGCTTGACTACAAGCAATGTTACCCATCAATGTTCGACGCCTAAGTCCTACGTTGCTGGGAAAACAACTATTGTCAATGACAATCGTGGCAGTCAGTTGTATGGAGAGTCCATTGACGATGACAATCATGATGATCATGATAATCCAGCTCTTGATCGAACGGAGTAGGTGTACTTTGGTAACGTAGCGTGGGTGACATTTGCTGCATTCATTTAGAGAGCTAACGGATATGAATTCAACGTTGTCAACATCGATAAAGTTCTTCGTCGACGATGGTCGATCTACTGCTTTCAGCACACAATCGTATAGTGAATACGATGATCGCATGGATGAGTATGATGAGTGGATACGTCGTCAACAAGATCCTTATCAATCGTACGACTGGGAATGTTGATACCAACAATCGGACTAATGGTCAACAAGACATATGCATTGTTTTTCTTTTGGTATTGTATTAAATTTTTAGTCTATGAATAAACAAAACAAAAGAAGTTCATCCATCGTAATTGCGACTGAAGTCGGAAGTAAATGAAGTATCAAGTAATGAATTGTCTTTGATGATGCGTTCTTTCATTTGTTTGGCAGAACGCATCATCTTCACGCACCTTGATAAGTCATTTGCCTTTGATTTCAGTCGCTGTTTTTTTTTTGTCCGACGAAAAGCCAACCCTTTACTTCCACGTAGTGTCGGACGGGCAACGTTAATGTACAGGCTATTGTTAACGGCTAGAAAGGGCAATGGTAGTACAGTTGATATGTTTTTTTTGTTAAAGTTGAACATTGTTCACGTTCATATGTATGTTGTAGATAGAATTATTTTCCTTAGATGATGGAGTCTGCTGGGGACAAGCAGACAGATGTGGGAACAACAACAGTCGGGACGACGACGAAGAAGAAGAATAACCGTCGTGGTACTCGACGACAACAGCGATATAGAGCTAGATAGAAGCTGTTACAACTGTGCGAACTTGCTAGTGCACAAGCTGCTGCAGCAGTTCAACACAACGAAACAGAAGAAAACACAACGAATAATGACTTGCAGATGATGGAAGTCACACAGGTAAGATAATGTGCCTGAGGATGATGGTGTAAATGAACGATAGTATCTGTATTGTATTGTATTGTATTGTAGTTGGATCAGAGTGTTCCATCGGAACGAGTGACGAACAAACGGCGACGACGAGATTCGGTGACGACACCGACAATAAGAGCAGTGCCGAATAATGTGATTCGATCATTCAATCGACTGTCTCTCAATGTACACTCGGCAAATGTGGTGGTGAAAAAACAACGACGAACAGGTAGATGTCGCTTACCGAAGCAACAACATGCTAGTCGGCAAGGAGGAGCAGAGAATGTGTCTCTGCCAGACTATCTCAACGTTCCATGACGGGTATTTAAGAAAATGTTTCTTTCGGCCGCAACAACTCTCGACCTATCTACTTCACATGATGTCATCAGTCAATGGCTAGACAATAATTCGAATATGCGTCATATTCGACAACATGCTATACTGTTAGACAGACTCTTGTACTTAGAATTACAACAGTCGTTGTGGACGGAATATTTTCATGTTGGTAGTCAACCGGACGGTGTTTGGGCATGTGAAGTAGAAGAGAAAATCAGTCGACAAAGGGAACAAGGTGTTATTCACATCGATCCGATGGCCTTCGTTGTTCTACATCGAGTACATATCGAAGAGCAATGGAATACGATTCAGAATGATCTGAATGCACATTTGAGTCATGTTCATTATGTCATTGGTCAACAGTCACAAGGTCAATCGATTGATCTTGCTGTCGTGTTGAAAGCTTTTATTCGGCGAGGACAGCACAAGTTAAATGCTGATTTCGAGTGTAAGAAACGATTGCTTCGTTTCGAATATCAAGATCATCTGTTGACAAAAGCATTCTTCGATTTGAAACCAACGAAAAAGGAGGTATGTTGTCAAAGATCTGTTTAGATCGGGCATTCATTTGTTTGTTTTTTCTTGTCTGTTGAATTTGTCATAGATTCGATCGGCTCGAAAGATTTGGTCGGCTACACACAAGCAGGTGATGGCCGAAGAACAGATAGTCATACTCAAACATCGTATATCTTCAAGAATCTTGTCAAAGAGATTCGATTCAATAGATCGTTCATTTAAAGATGTCGATCGTGCTCTAAGAGAACGTGTGATCGATGATGATGTACGAGCGACAATCACAAATCGTCGTAACAAAGTTATCGGTCAGATGAAGCTAGATTTAATGTCGATGGAGATTTCAACAGCAGAAGCGACAGTGCGTGGCCATACGCACACAATCAATCAAGAGAAAGAAAAGTTACTATCAAGTCAACATTCAACTTGTGAAGGAGATGACGAAAAGGTGGTAGCAGCAACAGCAAGAAATAATATTATTATCAATGCCATACTAGCTCGGCAAGATAATATAGTTAAACGAGCACGATATATTCTTGATTGGAAAGTGTCTTTTTTCGTCGAAACTCCGGCGATGCATATGGATCAACAGCAGATAAACAGCAGCATCGTCGGAGTGTCCGATCCAATAGAATCCTAGGCGCAAGAAATAATCTTCTTCCATCGTCAGCTATCGTCGAAGTAGCAACATCACTTCGAGCAGCACAGTTCTTGTTTTTGGCCCGAGGACCAAAATATGTACCGACATGTCAGAGTTATTTTGCAACTGACAGCCTTGAAGATGTGATCCGTCGAGAATATGAACAAATGTCAACCGTCATTATGAAATGCTTAGCCGACAATTGCGTATCAGCGTCCGATGCACGAGCAACATTATTTTTCATTTCATTGAAAAATCTTCTCACAGAACTGTATACAGCAAAGTTATCTTCAAATTTGTTTCGTCGTTCTCGACGAGAATACATGTTGACTAGAAGTATCCAGCGCATGCTACGTTCTTCACAGCAACATGTTGTCCTGCGACGAACAGATAAAAGTAAAGTCTTTCATTTGGGTTCGCTTGGTGATTATGAACAGAAAGCAGTCAGTTATATGATGAAGACCGGTGCATACGAAGAAGTCGACAATGGCAAGTGTCCGCTAGCTGATAATTTATCTGCCGTCATAGAATTACTTGATAAGTTATTGAAATGTAAAGCGATTAACATGCGACAATGGTCGGCAATGATGCCGAATAGAAGTAAAGTTGAATTAGGGCATTTGTATTTTCTGCCCAAACCGCACAAGGTAAGAGTATTCATACAGAAGTTTGACGACTGTCTAACTACATTTATTATTATCATAGATTGGTACACCACTCAGACCTATTATTTCGTCGATGAATGGATCGACCAGAGATAAGACCAGTATCAGTACATGAAGTAAAAGTGAAAGTACTTCTACTTTAATGAGTGTACTGAGGACTTCACATAAAATAAATTTTGCATAAGTAAATTTACTTAAGTACGAGTACTTAGTACAACTGGACTTGAGTAATATGTACTGTAGTACGGGTACTAAGTACAGATGTACTTAGGTAGTTTGTACTTTAATACTGGATACTTAGTACAATCATGCTCAGTACTACTTTAATGTACTTTACCTGAAACTGTGTTATATCTCATTAATCGCTTTTTGCCAATATCTATACTAACGTTACCTAATGCCATCTGCAGTAAACAAGGAATAAAGACAAAGCGTGTGTTTTCATATTCTTCTACGATTAATACTAATTAAACCAAAGTAATATTCCCAATGAGTTAAAAAAGGTATACTGAATACAAAGGTCATATAACTAAAGGACTATTTAAGATTAAAAAAGGCATTGGTATATATCACAAAGCAGCTTAGTCGACTGATTAAACTCTTCTTAATACCGACCAACAGTAAACGACGATTTGTTATTCTGTCCCTCCGCATAAACTTAAATTCGATCAGTAAATACGAAAATGAGCAGCGAACGTTGGAAACAATATTTTGATTTCACAGCAATTGATAATAACAGAACCAACGGTTATTGTAAACTGTGTGAACGTAATTACAAGGACAAAGTTGGCATTTACAGTAATTTTCTGAAGCATTTGAAACGAAGCCATTCTCGTGAATACAGTCGAATTTTTTCGAACGACAATGAACATTCTTCAGAAAGCACTTCCTTGGAAAATACAGATCAACAATCGTCAGATTTATCGGTGTGCAAGTCAAAGCAAAATCGAATAAATGCAGCAATTGCGAAATTTTTAATCATTAAGTGCAATTTTCCGCTGAGTATAGTGGAAAATGCATCATTTCGCGATTTTCTGAAGGAATGCTCAATCAAATGGAATCCGATATCGGTGAAAACATTGAAATTTGATGCACTCCATCAATGTTTGGATAAGGTGTCGACAACAATTTACCAAACATTACAAGAAGTCGATTATATGACTTTAACTATTGATGGATGGTCAGACAGAAAGTGTCGATCGTTTCTAGGTAATGAATCACATTTGATCGGTAAAAATATAAGTGAATGTCTATTTTAGGCATCACTTCTCATTTTATTAATGAGAAAATTCAACCGGAAGCGTATCTAATCGACTTCGTGCGATTGAAATATCCGCATACTGGTGAAAATATTCATCACATTACGGAATCGGTGTTGGATCGTCTCAATATCAAAGAAAAAATTTACCGAATAGTCACTGATAATGCCTCAGCCATGATTAAAGCTTATAAATTTGGTTTAACAGTTAGTGATGATGCCAACGATGATGATATCACACCATTCTCTGATGTTCGCGACTTGTCCGGTGATGATAACGATGGTAAGTGTATAATAAGGAATATAAGCCCGCTAGAGAAAAAGATTACACCAGCTGTTCATTGATAATTCTCTTGTTCTAGATATCGATGTCACTGATTTCCATCTTATCAACGTTCAATATGATGATGATAATGATGTTCACATGTGCGATAATCCTTCTGATGTACGTCTTGCATGTTTTGCTCATACGATGCAGCTATGTATTCGAGATGGCCTGAAGAAGGCAACTTATGTACCCAAAGTGCTTGGAAAATGCAAAGGTGTCGCGAAGTTTGCACACAAGTCATCCAAAATAGCCGATTTGTTGGAACAATTGAACAAGAGTATACACAAATACAATTTAACTAGATGGAACAGTGAATTTATGTTAATCAAATCGATTTTTTCAATTGGTAAAGATGATATGGATTCAATTACAAGCTCAATGGAAAATCCAATCAAGTTTTCAAGCAATGATTTCGTGGTTTTGGAAGAATTAATTGATGTCCTGGATCCATTTTGTGATATATCAATAAAATGTCAAGCTGATCACGCTGTTACAGCCAGCTTGGTTGTTCCATCTATCACACATTTACTTGGACACCTTCGAGATATGAAAGAACATGTTAAATTTGCTTCGAAACTTGTTCAACATCTTCAGGAGAGTATTAACACTCGTTTCTCTGGTATGATAAACAGATTGCACCTTATTGATGTTACTGACAACGGTCAATTTGGTGATCCGCTATATTTTGCTGCCGCAGTGTTAGATCCAGCGTTCAAATTCTACTGGGTTCGAGATTTACAGTTACCTGCTCAAGCAGAAAATTCTTTAAAGCAAAATATCATTCGATTGATCATTGAAGAAATGAACAAGGATACGAGAACAACGATCAATGACTTGGATCAAAGTAGCATTTCATCATCATCATCGTCATCATCATGCTGCTTCTCCACTAGTAAACCAAAAAGGCGAAAGTTATTCCATTATGACGAAAACGATAATGGTAAATTGAATGAATCAACAAGTCTTGATCCAGCTGTCGAATTAGATGCGTATCTAAATGATCCAATTCGGACGAGTTTTTCTGATTACTGGTTTCATTCTCAGCTGCATATGTTAAAAAAATTAGTCAAACGCATATTTTCCGTCCAAGCATCTTCAGCGCCTATCGAGCGCGTCTTTTCACAAGCCGGTATCATATTTTCAAATAAGAGAACAAACTCAGGCGAAAAGTTATTCCGCGATTTGGTCTACCTTCGTGTTAATCAAAATTTGTTATGAACGGTTTTACGCGTCTCACAGATCAGATCAGTTATTTTATTTTATTTACCCGTTAACTAGTTGTACGTTGTTAATTTTTCGTTGAAGTTATCTTTATCAAGTGATTTCACAATCAAACTAATAAAAGTTTTTAATTCTTTCTCAACTTGTATTCTTTAAAGAACATGATGAAGCGCTGTTCGAGTATACTGACGAACCGAAAATAAAATTTCACCATATCATTTGAGTAGCGTTGCTCGTCAAAATACTCTTTCAAATATCAAAAAGATTGTGCTCGTGCGCTTATTCATCGTAATCTATGTTTACCGCGAACATAACCTATCGAAACTTAATTGAAAACAAATAGTTGAACGTTTGGATACATTTTATCACAAAGAATTATTCGTTTTAAGTACATTCGGACTTAGTACCGATACTTAGTCCAAACGTACTGTAGTACGAAAACTTAGTACAACTGGACTTAAGTAAAATGTACCGTAGTACCCGTACTAAGTATAGCTGTACTTAAGTCAAATGTACTGAAGTATAAGTATAAAGTACGCGAGGTAAGTATAAAGTAAAACTACTTTTGCTTGAGCGAGTGTACTGCGTACTGAAGATTTTTAGGTAAAAAGTACAAAAGTACCAAGTATTTTACTCAGTAACCGATCTCTGACTGATAGAGACGGCGACAGTAATTCAATAGGTTGATATGCTGGGTTCACTTCTTTCAAGTGAATCATATGAAGTTTATCCGCTGGATTTGTTTTACTATGCACATGAAGACATGTAAGAGGTAATAGGACGATTTCTTGTTCTTTATTTTGAAAATATTAATGTGATGTTATCTTTCTGTCCTTTTCGGTCTCAATACAACACACCCACCAAATAATATCGAATCCTAATTTGTATTTCGAACTTAAGTCTACGTCTCGTACCCTGCGTCAGACAACTGCTTTTTCAGATGCAAGTTTACATAAAGCGGTAAAGAAAAATTTCAAGTGCAACAATCATGGTCGAAGCGTTTCACGTTGTTCAGATCGTAACCATTATATTTCGATAAATCATGAAAAAACAAGTGAAAGTATGTATATCAATAAAACAATTGATTATACGAAGAGCGAAATGTTGTTTCGAAGAATTAAAGATAATAGTTAAACGAACACCTCCTTTAAAAAGATTAGTGATATCTACTGAATATTAATAAAAAATTGTATTGTTCGCTTTCAATGGGAATCTTTTATTAAATCTTCATTGCTATTCCAGTTGGTTGAAACAATTTCAAAATGGTTTTTGATAAAAGTAATATCAGTGGTTTACTGAATTACATTAGCAATGCTCGCAGTAACCCATGTCGAAAAAGAAGGAAAATATGCAGGATACAAATGTTAAAAAACTCGGGAAAGCACGCAGGTCGTGAGCGCTGCATTATATCAATATATCGCAACTATTGATACTATACCTTATATANCATAACGATTCGCATCTCACCACATGGTCCTCTACAACTGTTGTTAGCACAACGGAATACACGATACCAATGCCGTTGATGCTGACATATTCGACGCAATATCATTATCTATACCAAGAAATTCAAGAAAATCGTTTTTTTCCGAACAGACAAGCATGATCAGACTTACCTTTGCTGCACGTGCATCAGTAAATAACAACACCACCATCGCCACTTAATCCATTCCGATTGATATAATCATGAAACGTTCGGTCTTGTTCAGTATTCAACGACTGCTTTTGATCATCGTACCGCTTTCAATGAATAACTTCCTCAACGCTCATGGCCATAAATCACAAGCCAACATGCAATTCGCTTGGGCCCTGTATCACTTAAGCTGTACCACTCTTGAATTTGACGATGAACTTTGACGAAAGCCACTTGCTTATCGAACTAATGGCAATATCGACTACCACATAATGCGGGTGCCACGGTGGGTGTATACGGCGAAGGTGTGGAGGCATTGTCATAGTGAGGGTGCTATGGAACGCCCAGCTAGTAGAAACAGCGGAATGCTCGAACTGCTAGTTTAATAACTGCATTCAAGTCGGGAATTTTACACACACACGTTTCTTTCTGAATAAATCCGATTTTTACATGAAGAATATTGTGACGTGGAACTAAGTGAGTGTGCTCCATGTGTAACTCCAGTACATCAAACATTACATCAGAATTTTTGAAATCTTGTTTTGCAGAGACTTATTGTCCAGGTAAATCTTAATATCGCTTTAGGATATACTATTTATTTATCGTGGATACCCAGTTCTGTTTTCCTTCTGTCAACATTTCTTCTACTTACTTGAGTACATCTTTCTAGTCCTCGTGTAGCAAAAGGAATTCATTGAAGTGTATCTTATCTTCACTTTCGTTCTGATACATGCACGATATCCAGCCAGATATGTTGATATATAGTTATTAACTAGCTGAAGTGACATTTCAAATAGTTCAACTAGTAGAATAGCCCACCGGTTATCCGGAGCTGTGGTTTCGAGTCCTACTTTAATTTCATCATCTTTTCGAATAACTTTCTCACACTTATTTGAACATGTCTCTGTGGATATTTCTACTGAAATGTGCTGCATCCATTCGTGAACGGATGAAATGCTTGCTTGACTTGCATTGCTTTACATCGTCATTTGGAACTTACCCACACCCTAAAGATAGCTACAAAGTCAAAACTACCTGATGCGACTGCTTAAGCAACAGTCGAAACGCGTCGTAGAATGCTAGACTCACAACCACACACCCTCACCCTCAAGATTTTGTTATGATTTTGCTTGAAATAGACTTTTCAGCTTTGAAAATGTTTATTTTAAGTTAAGTTATACGAAATCATAAGCCATCTGATGAGTCTTCTTGAGCAAAAGACGAAACCGGTCATGGCAGCTCTACTCACACCCTAGATAATCGTTTGATCGTTATTGTCCTGATTTTTCTATCTCGACCTATTTGTCGTTTAGATATGTAGTTATTAATTAACTGAAGTGATCATCAAATAGTTTAATTGGTAAAATAGCCGACCGGTTATCGGAAGATGTGGGTTCGAGTCCTACTTTGATTTCATGATCTTTTTTAACAGATCTTTCGCATTTGTTAAAGCATATCACTGTGGATACTTCAAAGAAAGTCGAATAGAGATTTTTGTGGACAGGCGAAAAGATTTCTAATCTTGAGATTCTTTCTATCCTATTTTCAAACTCACCCACCCCACACCCACACCCTCACACCCTCACCCTCAAAGCAAAACTATGAACGTGATAAAAGATAAATCATGACAAAAGTGATATTTAACAAAATCTAGTAAATATTTCAAATGAATAGATCGTTTATCATTGACGTCAATCATTTATTGATGAAGACACTTGATCCTTTGTTTTGAGATAAAACATGTTGTATTATTCATCAAATTTGTTGTGAATTGTGATCGTAATAAACGAAAAATATGTATTATTTTTGCGAGTTAAATAAAATTCTATTCAATTCTTATATGAACTAATCAAATTTCCAAACTATTCAAATTTAAAAGAAAATACTATTCGGAAAATATGTTATCTTTTTTTTTCTCCTACGTGATGTCTAAATTAAATACATAAAAGCAAAAGAAAGAAGAAAACTATAAATTGAGAGAAAATCAACGATTATTGTCAGTCTTTTTTACCAGATAAGAATAGTATTATCAATTATTAGTATATTCTATTATTGAAACCGAATCTTTGAATTAGAGATGAATATCTTCTCAAATATGTGGAAGTTCCATATATTCATCAATATTCTTCTGATCTTTATTAATTCAATATCAGGTAAATAATCTTATGTAAAATACGTTTTATGATTACATGAATATACATTCGATAATTTGTTCGACGAATGAGTACTGTTACTAATCATCTTTTTTATGATATGTTCATACCATGACATGTATGAATATGAATATAGATACTAAATATATAGAAGTGATATTTGTATCTATGTTTAGTATTCATAAGAATGAATAATCAGTGACGTAATCAGGATTTTTCAGACCAACCCAGGTCAAACGCGCTCTGCCCCCTGAGCTGGCCGGACACTTTGATCTCTTACAAAAACATGGAAGTAGTATTCCTACTGGTTCCGAGGGCCGAAACGTTCACCCTGGGTGATGGGCAAGCTTCCCATAAGTCGAAAAATCAGCAGACAACCATGGACCAGTTTTTAAGCGATAGGCCAAATTCTTTTGCTGACTTAATAAAAGTTCAAAGCAGATTAGAAGCAGAACATCGCAAAAGCAAGTTCTTTTATTTTACTGATTTTAAGAAAAAATGAAAGAAAATTATGACGCAACCATTGCACGGGAGTGGCAGTTAATACACGATTGATTGAATCGGAGGCGCGTA